GCAGCGCTGGGACCAGGGAAAGGAGGCTGAGTGCAGGGCCCGGGCCCACAGCGCTGGGATCGGGGAAAGGAGGCTGAGTGCGGGGCCCGGGCCCGCAGCGCTGGGACCAGGGAAAGGAGGCTGAGTGCAGGGCCCGGGCCCACAGCGCTGGGATCGGGGAAAGGAGGCTGAGTGCGGGGCCCGGGCCCGCAGCGCTGGGACCAGGGAAAGGAGGCTGAGTGCAGGGCCCGGGCCCACAGCGCTGGGATCGGGGAAAGGAGGCCGAGTGTGGGGCCCGGGCCCGCAGCGCTGGGACCAGGGAAAGGAGGCTGAGTGCGGGGCCCGGGCCCGCAGCGCTGGGACCGGGGAAAGGAGGCCGAGTGCGGGGCCCGGGCCCACAGCGCTGGGATCGGGGAAAGGAGGCCGAGTGCGGGGCCCGGGCCCACAGCGCTGGGATCGGGGAAAGGAGGCTGAGTGCGGGGTCCAGGTACACAGCGCTGGGATGGGGGTAGGGTGACCAGGTGTCTGTTTTTCAACCAGAACACCCGGTCGTAAAGGGATCCTGATGGCTCCAGTCAGCACCTGCTGACCGAGCTGTTGACTGTCCGGTTGGCGGCGCCGCACAGCAGGGCTGGCAGGCTTCCTGCTAGCCGCCACGCCATGCGGCTCCCAAGAAGCAGCGTCATATCCCTCCTCTGGCTCCTACACGTAGGGGCATCAAGGGGGCTCCACACGCTGCCCCTGCCCTAAGTGCCACCCTCGCAGCTCCCATTGGCCAGGAACCACTGCCAATGGGAGCTGTGGGGGCGGTGCCTGCAGACGGGGCAGTGTGCGGAGCCGCCTGGCCGCACCTCCGCATAGGAGCCGGAGGCAGGATATGACACTGCCTCCGGGAGCTGGTTGAGGTAAGATCCCCCTCCCTCCCTCCAAACCTCTCAATCCCAGCCTGGAGCCACCTCCTGCACCCCAACCCCCTCATCATAGAATCACAGAATATCAGGGTTGGAAGGGACCTCAGGAGGTCATCTAGTCCAACCCCCTGCTCAAAGCAGGTCCAATCCCCAACTAAATCATCCCAGCCAGGGCTTTGTCAAGCCGGGCCTTAAAAACCTCTACCGATGGGGATTCCACCACCTCCCTAGGTAACCCATTCCAGTGCTTCACCACCCTTCTAGTGAAAAAGTTTTTCCTAATATCCAACCTAAACCTCCCCCACTGCAACTTGAGACCATTACTCCTTGTTCTGTCATCTGCCACCACTGAGAACAGTCTAGAGCCATCCTCTTTCGAACCCCCTTTCAGGTAGTTGAAAGCAGCTATCAAATCCCCCCCTCATTCTTCTCTTCTGCAGCCTAAACAATCCCAGTTCCCTCAGCCTCTCCTCATAAGTCATGTGCCCCAGCCCCCTAATCATTTTTGTTGCCTTCCGATGGACTCTTTCCAATTTTTCCACATCCTTCTTGTAGTGTGGGGCCCAAAACTGGACACAGTACTCCAGATGAGGCCTCACCAATGTCGAATAGAGGGGAATGATCACGTCCCTTGATCTGCTGGCAGTGCCCCTACTTATACAGCCCAAAATGCCATTAGCCTTCTTGGCAACAAGGGCACACTTCTTGTCCACTGTAACCCCTAGGTCTTTTTCTGCAGAACTGCTGTCTAGCCATTCAGTCCCTAGTCTGTAGAGGTGCATGGGATTCTTCGATCTTGTTGAACCTCATCAGATTTCTTTTGGCCCAATCCTCCAAATTGTCTAGGTCCCTCTGTATCCTATTCCTACCCTCCAGCGTATCTACCACTCCTCCAAGATTAGTGTCATCTGCAAACTTGCTGAGGGTGCAGTCCACGCCATCCTCTAGATCATTAATGAAGATATTGAACAAAACCGGCCCCAGGACCGACCCTTGGATCAGCTAATCCCATTTTTGACAAGGCCCTGCCCCCTCTCGCTCCCGGCTAAATAGGTTATAACCAGTGATTTTAACACTCCAGTCAAATAAATTTCCGCGCCCCCACCGCCCTGTATTGCCCTCTCCCGCCCCCAGGAACCGGCCCTTCTTGTTTGTACCATTCTCTGTTTATTTATTTTTACATTTTTATTCCACATTTACACAATTTTTAAAAAAAAACCAAGAGTCATGAATCCTTCCGGCCCCTCCCCCACCAGGCCCCGCCTCCTCTGGGCCTGGCCCCTCCCTGCCTCACTCGCTAACTCTGACACCAACAAAAATAAATAATGAGCCCCCCCTGCCGCTGGGTGGGGGTGTAACGTGCCCAGCGGGGTGGGCGTGGGCTAAACTCATGCCCAGGCTGTCTGGCCCTGCTTCTGGGATCCAGCATCATACTGGACACAGCCGGGGCTGGGTGCATGGGTGGGGTCTCTGTGCAGGGGGGCTGGGTCATGCAGGCTGCGGGGTACAGGGGCTGCCCAGAGACAGGGGCAGCTGGCCCCACCTCCCAGTCGCTGTGATGCGGACAGCAGGGCCCAGGGGCAAACGTGCCATATCTAGGCCTTGCATGGGGGGCAGGGTGGAGAGGCCCAACCCCCTAATTCCCAGGAGCGACTCACCCTTCCCTTGGGAACCCCAGTCACAGACTCCCAGACAGAGCAGCATGGGCAACAAGGGGGTCTCAGGGCTGGGCTGGCAGAGGTCTGTGGGTTGGGACTGAGCGGCACCAGCAGAGCTGGGGGAGGGCGGGGGGACCCAGGGCTCGGGGAGTGGTGGGGGGAGGCTGTGGGCAGGGGAGGGGACCCCAGGGCTGGGGAAGCAGGGGGCTGTGGGTGACAGGCAGGCCATGCCCAAGAGAGCAGTGGGCTGTGGGTGGGGGAGGGGAGCCCAGGGGGATGGGGGGCTGGCCATGCCCAGTGCTGGGGGGCTCCTCGGGCCCCCACGCACAGTTCTCGCCCCGTGCCGGGGCAGCGGTGCAGCGCGTGGTCCCGTCGGGAGCTCCCTCTCCGTGCCGGGCGCCCTCGTCTCCTCGTGCGGGCTCGGCGCTCGCTCCAGGCCGCGAAGCCGCGGGGGGCTCACTCCTCGCTCTCTAGCTTGAGGCTGATGCTGCGGGCCTTGGCGCGGGGCGGTGCCGGGGCACCCCCCTCACGCTCCGCCTGGCTCTGCCCCCGCGAGCGCAGCAGCTGGCTCTGCTTGCGCAGGAAGTCGACGGGGGCGGGGCAGCCGTAGGTGCCTTTGCCCAGCGTGGGCCGCGGTGCCCCCTTGGGCGAATGTGCCAGCGATGCCGTCTCCAGCTGGGCCAGGTGCGCCACGTAGCCCTCGGACAAGAACTGCGGACAGACGCACGGACCGAGTGTGGGGACAGAGGGACGGGGGAGCGCTGGGGCCCAGCACCCACTGTCCCCATGCCAGCCCCCCAAGGGCCATGGGCATCACTGCCTCCCACCCTTCTGGCCCAGGGGCTCTGTGCCCTCTGGAAGGGAAGGCTCCCGTGTCCCATTCCCCACCCCCCTGAGCCAGCCAGTCTCCTGCCCTGGGGCCAGACCAGAGCCAGCGCCCGCTAGCGGGGAAAGGCCCCATGTCCCAGTTCCTGAGCCAGCCAATCCCCTGTCCGGGGACTGCAGCTTATACCCCCTGGTGCCCGCGTACCTGGCACTGGTTCTGGAACTTCTTGACGGTGCGCCCGACGATGTAGATCTGGGTGGGCGAGAGCCCCAGGGAGCTGTAGACCGAGATGTCCTTCGTGGAGCCATAGCCAGCCACAATGGTGACCTCTGCCTGCAGTACATGGGTACTCAGCCTGGCACCCCACCTCCTCGTACCACCCGAGCCCCTCCCGCTGCCCGAGCCCCGCCCCCTAGCACCACCTGAGCCTATACTCCGAGCCCCACCTCCTCGTGCCATCCCAAGTCCCGTCCCCTTCGCACCACCTGAGCCGCACCCCTTCGTGCTGTCCAAGCCCCACCCCCTTGCACCTCCCAAGCTCCACCCCTCACACCACCCAAACCCTGCCCCCTTGCGCCAGCCCGCTCCTGACACTGACTGAGCCCCGGCCTGGCCTGCCCGCCGTCACCCCCAAACCCTGGCTATGCCCTGTCCCCCGCGGCGCTGGGCGCAGGCCCCACCTCGGTGCGCAGGCTCTGCAGGAAGGCAGCTTTCTGGCGCAGGGGGTCGTGGGTGAGGCCGTCGCAGAAGGAGACGACGCCGTGCGGGAAGTTGTGTTGCGACAGCCAGGCCACCACGCGGTGCTTCTGCATGTCGGGCCGCCCCGTCACATAGATGATCATGTACCCCGAGTCCTGCCAGTGCCTGGGGCGACACGACACGGGCATCATGGGGGGGGGGCGTGGGGAGCTGGGGGGGGGGCAGGAGCTGAGAGGACAGCAGCGGGAAGGGGGTTAGCAGGGTGGTAGAGGGTTGCTGGGCGTAGGGACAGGAGTTGGAGGTTTACCTGGGGCAGGAGAGAGGGGTCACTGGGGGCACCTACCGCACAACGTCGACGGCGCCTGCCCGCACCTTGGGGTCGCTGCCCATGATGGAGACACTGGCCGTGAAGGAGCCGTCGATGCTGAAGACAACCGCCTCAGTGCTGCGTGCCACCACCGTCAGGAAGGCCTCGGCATAGCTGTGATCCCCTCTGCACGGGAGCGGAGGGCGTCAGGGACCGAGGAGGACAGGGGAGCCCAGAGACATCCCCCCGCACATAGATCTCCCCCTCCTCCCCAAACACACTGCGGGGGAAGGGGGTGTCCCGCAAGCCTTGCCCAGAGGGGTCCCCTGCCTCCAACAGCCTCCCCTCACCCATTCCCAACACTGCTTTCCCCGCTGAGGGCTCTCCCTGCCAGGCTCCTGGTACAGCCCCACTCCCCAGTACGTCCCTCCCCCCTGGGCCCTGTGTCTCCCCTCCCTAGGGTCACATGCACCCGGGCAGGGCAGGGCGGGGGTCTCACCTGACCACCATGCGCACGGGGTACATGCCGATGCCCAGCGCCTTGTCGGGCGGGATGAGGAAGGCTAGGCGCCCGCTGCTGCTTGTCACCTCGGTGCCGTAGTGCAGCCACTTCCCCGACAGCGGCTGCGTCATGATGTAGATGTCCACCTGCGGGGAGCCGCACAGACGTTAACATCGGCTCTTAACAGCCACCGCTCTCTCGGCTCTCCGGCCCGGACAGGATCCGAGATCACCCTGTGCAGGCGTCCAGCTTCCCCTTGGAGTGGCCGAGACCTCTCGTCTGGAGAGCCCGGCTACCTCTTGGAGTCTAGAATTAAGCTAAAGCTAAATGACACCGGGCCCAGGAAAGGCGAGTGATCCCTGCGAAGGGATCTCCCCGCTGCTGTCAGACCCTCACCCCAAAGACTGCCCTAGTTCACTCATGGACGAGACGTCCAGCTTGCCTCGTCTAGCTAAGAGCCCCTGCCAGGTGACAGAGAAGAGCAGCTGCTCCCAGGTGTGAGCCAAGGGCCAGGGGAGAAGAGGTAAGTTTAAGGCAGCTGGGACCGGCTTGCTGGGTGACCCCAAAAAGTTCCTGAGACCCCAAGAAGTCTTAACCAGCCAGCCCTCCCTGACGCCGGCGTGCAGCCGTCTGCCTTGGGAGACAGAGACACCCCTCTCCTCGCCACCTTCTGTCTTGTTCCTCCCTGGGACATCTCAGACCCTGGGTGAAGCAGCAAAGGTATCAGGGATCATCTGGGGCCGGGGGATTGGGCCCACCAGACTGCAAGGATCAGTCAGGGTTTGGTGTGTGCACTTTGGAAGTGGCTGGGGCTCTCTAGGAGTGACTAGGAATTGCACAGCACCCGGAGGGTGGCTGAGAGGCCCCCTCACCAGGGTCGGACTCTGGAACATTAAGAGAAATTGCTCGAGAGGGGGGATCCCAGGCTGGGCTAATTATGAACCAGGCCTGGCCATGAATCAAAGCAACACCCCTCTCTCTCTCTGCAATGTGTCATACATCACCGCCATCTCCTGGACAGCAGAGGAACTGAGAGCTGGAAAGCTCAGAGCAATTTGGAAGGTGGCATATAAAACCGAGGTCACCCTGGGGGACCCCAGAGCTAGCTGAACCCTCGTGGGCAGCCTCTCCCCTCAGCCACGGTCCCGGCACCAAGAGATGAACGACTCGCCCCCAGCCCAGGGTTCGCAGGAGAAGAAGAAGTGGTGAGATTTCATTTCCCTGCTGTTCTTTAACAGAAATAGCTACAGGTTGGCTTGGTGAGTCTACACACCCCAGCAATACCTTGGGCAGCCGTGTGCTGGATTTAACCACGCGTTTTGCGTGCTCTGGAGGCCTGAGGATTGAACTCTAACGTGAAGCAGTTCTGTTGCTATCTAAGCTGGTTGCTCTGGGACCAATCCACTCCCTTAGCAGGGAGCACGGTGTAACGGGCTCTAAAGACAAGCGCTTCCTTCCTCCTGGGCGAACTACTGGGCAGGGGTGTCCATGCGTTCGGGGCGGAAGAATTGCCGAGTGATGATTATAAAGAAACCCGGGTGCTCTGCATTGCTCCTTGGTCTAACCGCTCGTCCTCAACCCTGCGGTACTGCTTGCAAGGCTGTGCGGGATAGGCCTGAAACGCTGGTTGTAGCTACGCTCAAGTGGTGCACTGCTGATGGCGTGCTAAGGTGGCTCTGGCCAATTACTAAACGGGTTGGTTGGGAAGAACCGCGTGTCCTGCTGTGAGAAATGCTGTCCGAGGTGAGCGCTGATCTGAGAAGAGGCCAGTGTTAATTAGTAGCTAAGGCTCCCTGGGTTCAGTAAAAGGGGTTCTCCTCTTAGCTTCCACTGGAATATCGGCTACAACACCCAGCAAAGAGGCAAACCCAGTTCGTTAGATTTCAGCTTTAAAATCAAACCAGCACGGTGGCAAATTCAGAACATTGACTCCTCCATTCATGCTTACATGGGGGCAGCACCTGCTGGGGCACCCAGACAGACCCCCCCACACACACACTCTGCACTT